ACCGGTTGAGGTAATCTGTAAACTTTGATCTACAATGATGAATTCTAATAATTTTGGTGTCAATTATTTTATGAAGCTGTTTATACCCTGATGACCAGAGATAGTCAGGTGTAGCTTCTCCATTGGATAGCCCATCGATGCATGTGTCATGCAATTCCCTTTGTTTTATGGTGTTACACCTCAGGAGAACATTCCACTACCTTTATTGATTGCATACAACAGTAGGTCATAGTATTCTAGCCAAACTTTGAATATGACAGAGAATGTGTCTAGATTTCCATTAGTTGTGCTAGCAAGTAGCAAGCATTTGGTTGAACATGTGGCATATTCTACCGTAAGGTATACTTACCACTTGTGTATGGATATGGACTTAAAGAGTAGAGATACTCTATTCGCTGAGTTCCAAAAGCAAAATAATCCTTATATATTGTTCATGTCTCACCCTTAGGATCATCAAAATGAACTTTATCTGTTAATTACATATAGCCTATAGGTCATTCTTATCTTTACCTGGTTCATTTAGTTGAGAAGAACACACATTTTCCCCTTTTCATCTTCTTAGGTTTTCTCTTTTTTTTTTTTTTTATATTTGAGGTTATCAGGATTTGAATCTTGTTCACTAGAACCAAGAATCCAGCACTCTACCAACATACCATGCGGTTGTTGGTTTTCTCATTCCTTTCCTTTCTTGCTTTTCGTAGCAATTTTCTGTCAAATCTTTCCTGCAGATGCAAAATATTTGCTAATCAATCTCTTAAAACTAACCATTCCTTTTTGTTTCTTTCAGGATTTGACAAAAGCTTTTGTAAAGGTTCGTCGAATTAATAATTCCAAAAAGCCAGCCCAGAGAAGTGCTTAAACAATGGAGTTCCTTTATATAATGGGTTGTTCACTTGGATTTTGCAGTTGTAGTTTTAGTACATTATAAAGTTCTTTGCTTGTTGTACTCGAAAACCATCAGCAGTTATTTCTGGAGCGTGCGTTGTGCTGGTCTATTTAGCTTTTGGATGGCCTGTTTTATGGGGTAGAAACCACCCCCTGTACTTGTTTTGAAAGTGCGTGATAAAATTGTCTAATGAAACGGAGCGTTTCAAGTAATCACGCCTGTCCTGTGAAAAAGTAGTGGTGGGCCCATCCTTGCTTACAGTTGAGCTGATTAACCTAATTTTTTTCATAAAAATTATCAGATTTACAATAAAGTGTTCGGAACACCGTTCATTTTACTACATTGCCACTAATGGAAACAATCGGTTTATCACGGCCAATTAAATGCGCTGGTTTCATTGTAATTTTAACGGAAACATGACTTATTATTGAGCAATCATCAAGTCCAGCAAGGAGGAAAACGAGTCATACGAATTGAATAACAGTACACTCTCACTTCGTTGGCGTCGCCTCGCCCTCGCTGAACAATATCCGGACTTCCCAAAGCAAAAACAAAACCACGCACCAATAAACTATTTTCTCTCTTCTTTTCGGCTTTATATAAAAGCATCACAATCATTTTTCTCCGCTTCATTTCTGGCTACTCTCTTCGCTTCTCGTTCTTATTCTCTTCTCGCTGTTCGCGGATTTTACGGAGCTACGATTCCGATGGCTGCTGTTACCGGATCCAATGTCGTTGCTTTGAAATCCGCCGCGAAATTCGGAGATTGCAGTGACCGAAAATTTGTTCAAATTCGGCAATGGTCTCCGATTTCTGGTGTAATCGAATCCGTTCAGACTCGGCCGTGCATCGGACTCAAGTGCAGATCGAGGAGATCGTTTGCTTCCTCCGGTATTTGTTTTCTATTTTCTTCTGCTTTTAAGCAGTCATTTTCATCTTTATGGGATATTTTTCTGCTCATTTAGCAGAAAAGCTTGGCATGTTCATGAATTAAGGACAATTATAGTCAAATTAACAGTCGGAGCTTGTGGAATTTGTTGTTTAGCGAGTTTAACATATAAAACCAATATTTGTTGATAATCTGAGAAATTATTGAAAATTTACGAGACACATTCTAGTTAATTTTGGCTTTTGATTTCCAGGTGTAAGAGCTCAGGTTGGCGACTGTTGAACAGGCTCAGCATTGAAGCAGCTTGCAAAAAAGTGGAAGCTTCCCGTAGCCATAGTTACTGGAGCTTTAGAGGAATTGGTAAAAGCAGTTGCATTGACCTTAGGAAAAGCAGGTTGCCAAGGTTAGTGGGTGTTCCTTGTCAGGATCTTACTATTTCTCTCCTGTTGTCGTCAACCGTTAAAATTTGAGTAAAGCCATAGGAAGACCGAAGAATATAGCTTGCGGTGACTGAAGTCTTGGCTAAAAGTGCAAATCGTTGGATGACTTCATCATGTGATGTTTAATAAGAATAAACTGCTTATGATTATCATAATCTGATTTAAACTACTTGTCAAATGATCTTGTCTAAATTTTAACCATTGAGTAATGGGGTGGACTCAATGTCCATTATGCAATACATGCTGTCCTGATGCCTTCCATGCTTCTTTGCTGATAAATAGTTGCCTCTCAAGTCTCCTTCAAGTACTCTAAGAACAAGTGTTTTAACAACTAAAGCAATATTTTCTATTTACTGCTATTTGTTTGAAAATGATGGTTGTTGATGCTTTTATGCTATTGCAGGTCCTAGTAAATTATGCTAGATCATCAAAGGAGGCTGAGGAAGTTTCAAAAAGAGGTGAACGATATGCCCTTTGAAGAAATTTATATGAACACTTAGTGGGATTTTACTTCTTTTTTTTTTTTTTTTCACAGCATTTGTTACAGAAATTTTGTTGTCTAATGGATAAGAATTCTTATTAGTAAACTGCCTTTATGTTTGCTGGAATGGAGTCTTTCATTTACTAGCAGATGAGAGTTTGTAGGCTGCCTAAAATCTAATTCTAGGATTCCTTATGTCCTCATATTTGCATATGCTTGTATGCATCTAAAGGAAAAGATTCACAAATATGACTCTTTTTCCAGAATATAATAATTGGATATTTTTATACTTGACCTTTTGTCTCTGTTAGTCTTTACTTAAACCTCGCTTTAAAACTTCTTTCCAAAGTGCCTTTATGTTTTTTTGGTTATGTGTAACGTTCTTTAGGCAGTGGTTGAATTATACTGCATGGTTGAAACTTGAAATGACTAATGTTACTACTTTGTGTGACTGTTTTCTAGATTGAATCATATGGTGGTCAGGCTGTTACTTTTGGTGGAGATGTTTCAAAAGAAGCTGATGTGGAGGCAATGATAAAAACTGTGAGTGAATGTTCCCTTTCATTTCATATTTTATAATGTACTAGTAGATGCATGCTTCATGACTTTTATATCCGCAGGCTGTTGATGCATGGGGAACCGTTGATATATTGATAAACAATGCAGGTTTTTAAAAATCCTTTCTTTTCTCATTTGCTATTCAATTGTTGATTTCAATCTAGTCCTTTAATATAGTGACCATGGTTTCAGGAATTACTCGGGATACTTTGTTGATGAGAATGAAGAAATCACAATGGCAGGAGGTTATTGATCTGAATCTGACAGGAGTGTTTCTTTGTACACAGGTCTGAATGCTGGACATCTGAACTGATTATCCTAGTGGATGCTTGAGTCATTTATTGGAACTGACTTTGCTGTTTGCAGGCAGCAGCCAAAATTATGATGAAGAAGAAAAAGGTAATAGGATATTTTGCATTTGAACGTAAAGCGTAATATACTTGGTTTGTCAATTTGTTTGGAATTGAACTTTCTACCCCCAAATCAACTGATTGAGCTACAGCCTGTAAAAGTGAGATTTTTAACATGTCATAGCTTCAAAGATGTATCTTTCTCATTAATACTTTCTCTTTTGTAGTGTTAGAAATAAAGTAAGTAAAGTTTTTTAAGCATGGTTCAAGAGTGTTGTTTTAGAATATGTACCATGTTTTAGAATATGCTTCTAATTTCAGGGAAAAATAATTAATATAGCATCAGTTGTTGGTCTGGTTGGCAATGTTGGGCAAGCCAACTACAGTGCCGCTAAAGCAGGAGTTATTGGCTTGACAAAGACTGTCGCAAAGGAATATGCCAGCAGAAACATTAATGTAAGTTTTCAAGAGTTATAAAACTTTCATTGCAGTAATAAGAAAGATCCAGGGTTATGTGTTTTGTAATTATTTTGCTCACTTTTTTCAAGATGTAATCCAACTCTTCTCTCGTCCAAGATTGAGAGGAAAAAGAATTGGAATAAGCAATGTGGGATAGGGTGAAAAAGGATGAAAGTTAGTGTCTTGACTGTTCAGTTATTGACATATTGAAATGTGAGGAAAAGGAACATTAAGGATGCCATGCTGATGTGGGGCTGAGGGAATAGGGTTTATGCTGCTAATGTTGGGTATACTCTGATAAAAATATTCTTCCAGGTCAATGCTGTTGCACCTGGATTCATTGCATCTGATATGACTGCCAAGCTTGGGGAAGACATTGAGAAGAAAATCTTGGAAACAATCCCCTTAGGTGAGAGATGATTATATACAATCAAAGTTCTTAATTTCCGTATTTGTGAATTTCTTTTTAGTGCTTCTCAAATTGTTAGCTTTCCGAGCCCTAATAAAGTCACCAAATATTTACTAGATTTCATTTGAAATGCCTGAGAGTTCTTACTGCTGCTAACCTTGCAATGTACCAAATATGTTGCATCTTTGTTGATTTTTACAGTACTTACACAACTTTCTTCCACTGCTTTTAGTATAAAATCATATTAATGTCATATCCTAGTTTCTACTGATTCAGATTGGATGTTTTGCGTAGAAACGCTTGGTAATTTGCAGCAGTGGTAACCATGTTTATTATGGATACAGGAAGGTATGGTCAACCAGAAGAAGTTGCCAGCCTGGTGGAATTTTTGGCCCTAAACCCTGCTTCCAATTATATCACAGGACAGGTTATAGATCTATTTTTATCATTGTGGCTTTTGGCATATAAAATTTGTGCAGTGGACTTTACAAACTTGTGCTTTGCCATGACTCCACTGGCTTGCTATAAAATGATACCTAAATATTATAGAGGCTGAATGCTATTGATGTATTGCATCTTGCCTTTGCGCGCTTGCATGGGCACTTGCTTAGGCTAATTTAAACTCGTGGCCGGCCATGCCATACCATGCTTTGCATGCCACAACATAATTTTGACCTGGCATACTGAATCTTTACTGGTAATCTCTTTGCTTAGCATTGCCTTGATCAGGCTTATCGTCTTTTCTGCCCTGCTACATGTTGGCTTTTATTTGTCTGGCTTCAATTATTTATTTGTCTCTCACTTGTCTGTGAGCTATATGCTAAGCCAAACTTATTGGGGTTTTTTTACTTGCATTGTTTTCTTGGCCTTGGCATTTGCATGCTCTGGTATTGCACTGCTTTGCTTGGTAATTCATGAGCTTTCATAAGGGGGATTGACCTCTATGGAAACACTAGGACGAAGACTTTGCTGAGTTGCAAGGTTACTGTTTAAATCAATCCCTATTCCCTAGCCTTGCCTTGGTCGATTTATTTCTCTGACCTTGTCGTGACAGTGGCTTGGACCCTATAGTGTTTTATTTTATATTGTTCCCTCTCCCCTTTTGTTGACTTAGCTAATAGCCCGGACATTGTTGTCTTGCAGGTGTTAACTATTGATGGGGGAATGGTCATGTAAAATTGCTACCCTTCCTCATTAAGCTTTCAGCAGGTAGTTCTGCAACGACATCTAAACTCTAATTAATATAGCTTGTTTAGTGGATTGCTGTTGTTTAATATAGCTTTTGTAGTTTTTTTTTTTTTTTTTAACAAACAAGAATTTCCAAAATTTGGCAGTATTTAACTTAAAGCAGCATGTTGTAAAACCAAATGAAGAGCTATGTTGTAGGCTTCATTTGGATTTATGGAGCGTGGGTTTTTGAGCAGTTTGCCATGCATGAAGTTTAACATTTCAATCAAATCTTCTAAAATTCTGTTATAGGGAATGTTTGACTGGAACAGGCTCGCTCTTATGACGTTCTTGATTATTCTTAAATCTGATACATGGCTTCGAAAACGAATGGGCGAAGTGATTATAGCACAATGAAACCAAAATAGGTGGTTTGGCTGGCCTCAAAATTTCATAGCAACTCTAAAGTAAATAGGAGAGCATATTAGGACGGCTTAAGGCAGAATTGTTGTGATTTACTTGCGACTCACGGGTTCTAAGTACTATTTTACCTGGGTAGAGTCGTAAATAAACGAAAATACTTTTTCCTAACGTATCACCGCTTTCCTTAGCCTCTTAAATCACCCTTACTTTCTAAGCCCCCTGAAGGCACCGTTCAGATTTCATTCTTGTCGGCTACTTTTTAAAGGGTCCTAAGTACAAGATTCCAAGTCCCCTCAGAATTCCAGGTTCTCCACCCCCCCCCCCCCCCTTTTACTCCTAGTCCCCAACTCCCAAGCTCATCGTGGTTTCTTTTATTAGGGTAAGTCATCTAACCCTTAACTTATTTATATACTCTCAAAAGTCTCGGGAACTTTGAAATCTTGTTTCAAATTTTCCACAACTCTCTCTGTCTCTCGTTAGTTATTTCTGCTACCGGATTTCCATGGAGACCTTAGCCCTTGACAGCCTAAGTTTGCCGATATTTTTCTTCTTGTTTGCTTTCTTTTATCTCTGTGCTTACTTTTCACTCTTCCATGACTGGGGTCCCAAACACCGGGCTGCAGCTTCAAGCTGCTTTATCTACTTTGTTCATGGATCGCCTGCCGCTTTAATGGCTCGCATGGCATTAAAAAACACCCAATCTCCTACTTTCGCTTCTCCAAACTCTGTTTTCGACAACATTGTACTTGATTACAGTATTTCTTACTTCTTGATGGACCTTCTCCATTATTTAGTCTTTTTCCCTAATGATATTCTCTTCATTCTCCACCATCTGGCAACATTGTATGTGTTTTTCACATGTCGTTACATGGTTCATCACGGGGCATATGCCCTTCTCGTGCTACTTGTTCTTGCCGAAGTTACAAGATTTTGTCAGAACATCTGGCTTCTTGCTGGTTTACTTGGAGGTGATGTTCGATTAGCTGCGAATTTGTACAAGCTTTTGTCTCCTCTGTTTTATGTTTCATATTCTATTGGTAGGGGGATTGTGGCGCCCTTCTTTGTGCATAAGATGGGGGTCTTCTATCTAAGTGGGATGGCTAAGAATTTGATTCCAGGTTGGGCTTGGGCTTCTTGGATGGTTGTGATCGTCACAGCAATCCTGGCTAGCATAGTTTGGATCTTCGATCACTGGTATAAAAGAAGCTATGAAGCGGTGAAGAAAGTGGTCTACAGTTATGGGTGCCACCACAATAGATAGTCAGACGAAGTCACCGTTTAGATTCCACCGCATGTTGGTACGGCAAGATTAAGTTCATCATATCATTAATTAAATTCAAATATCAATTTTAATAAAATTAAATTAGCATTAAATTTTTTTAATTTTTTTAATTATAATTATAATAATATTTTTTTTTATCATAATTAATTTTATCATTCATCCAAATGAGTCAAATTGGAAAGGGAGGCAATGTAATTATCTCAAATCTGTGGCAATATAACAGAGTTGTGCTTTATTTTCACCTTTTAGGAGTAAATATAATCCAATATCCTGAATGCTTCCTGGTGGCATAAGAATTCAGCTTTTAATGTACCAATAATTTTCCTTGCATTTTACTACTTTTCGAAGCCTGTGATGTGGAAATTGGCTGAAAACTTCGACTAATAGCACTTCATAGAGACTATGGGCTCTGATAATTACACAAATAGACGCAAATATGTACCAATGGTTCTCCAGCTTGAGCTATAAATGCATGCCACAGTATCGGATAGATACAATTGATGATCACATCATACACAAACATACATAAAAAATTGTAGGGACAAGTCCCATCTTATGCAATTGATTGATCTGAATGGCAAATGCTGAAGCACGTATCATATCTATTGTACTTTTTGCCCTCCAATATGTCAATTCACGAATTTTGCCTTCTTTGCTTCACTCCGGCATTTGATTCCCCATGTGGTGGTACAATACCATTTCTCAAATCATCTTATGGGGAACACAGCAGGTTTAGGATATGCCTTGCATTAACTCAATTCAAGGCTCATATACCAATCATTGAAACATTCATATTAGCAGGACTCCTTTGGTATTTTAGCTCTACAAAGGTACTTCCGCTTTCTCCCTTAGCCGGTCATCTTGGGTTAATGCAAAAGCATTTTTTCATTTGTTCTTTGATTTCCCGTCTCTTTTTCCCCCAAGAGATACCAACTCCAACCAGAAAGACCATGCAGGATGCACGAGAATAACATTGTTTTATAATTTGTAGTAGTATTTTTCAACATTTGTTGCAGAAAGTTGGACACTATCCTCTAGCTTAATACTAGCTTCTTGGAGCCATAGTTTCTTCTTGTTGCTGTTGAAAATAGAGGTTGGAACTGAAAAGTAGTTTGGCATTGGTGCATCACCCCTAACCTTGACAAAGTATTTGATGTCTGAAGGTAAGGTAATAAGATCCGGAACTGAATAAATATTAAGAGCTTCAGGGGGAAGGGATATATCCAATGGGACACCTTCCGCAGGTGGATATATAGCGGATAAAAGCTGTCTCACAAACATCAATCGTAAATACCTTTGATAGGTTGATGAATCAAATGAGGAACAAATAAAGAAGAAAGAAATATAAAAAGGCAAAAGAGAAAAAAAAAAAAAAAGCCACTTGTAAATGTTTATGTGAAAAAGCCACATCGTATTCAAATAATCAAAAAATTATTATTTGGACTGACAGAAATACATAAACTAAATTTATTTAAATTATTATACAAAGATTAAATTTTGATTTTTGCCTTAATATAAGTATTGATTCCATAATTTGATATTTTAATTATTGAAAAATTCTGAATGTAGTTTTTGTCACCATAAATTTCTTAACATTATGGAGTTTCTAAAGATTCATACATGATAACCGCAAGAATGAAATTTCAAGAAACTATTGATTACAAATCAAATTGCATTTAACATTTGCCTTTCAAAAAAATAATTACATTTAACAACTATTTGGATTTTCAAAAAAAATCTAATAAACCAAATAAACTAACAGATAAACAAAAAAAATTCCTGTTAAACATGAAATGCCAGGTGGAGATGATCGCCTTTGTCTGACGAAATTCATTAACATGTGTCGTGACATCTGATGATGAAGCATATGAGCAGATGACTCTGAAAACTGATGAAAATTTCTGGCAAGTGCATCCCACCATCAACCCGGTTACAATGACTTGAAATTGCAGTTCCATTCAATCAATGTGATAACCGGCAATAGATAGAATCATGAGAAGAACTCGTAGTGCTTGGCTGAGATGATGATTGAACTCGGCCCTCCAATGGGTGCTAGGACCATCAGCAAAACACCAAGAACAATGCATACCTGAAAAACAAACATACCAAGGTCAAAAAAGATGGTCAGGATGTTGAATTTGGCAGGTTCAAAAATCATTCCCGAGCCACATGTCACTTACCCAGTTTATCACCCAAGTTAAGCCGAATCTTTTGGGTTTGCAGATGATAAACCAGATGATGCAGGGGAGCTGCAGAGCAAGACATTAGTGGGGAGGTTGTGTTTGTTTGCAAGTAACAGTGCGAGCGAGTCAGAAATAGTTACATAATATGTTGTTGGCGCAAATGCAAATCCTCCAAAGAAGCTGAGAAGAACTCCAAAAAATGGAAGCATATCCCAGCAAACATTGCGAATGCTGCGACAGAAGAAGATTAATCAATGCAATAAGCTATGGTAAAACTCAGATTTTGTGTTGAAGAAATGGAATGCTGGGACTTGGGAGTTATTTACCAACATATAGAGTGCGACAGATTAAGCGTAGCCTTAAACAAAGAGTGAAACGCATTTTTTTTTACCAAAAAACTCTCCAACATGTCAAACACTGGCATTGCATATACCTGCAGTTTATCAGGTTAAAGGGAAATTTGGGGTCAGACAAATGTTAATTCTTCAATTGATGTTGTCATCAATTGCGTTCCCAAACGCCCGGTAACCAACAAAAGCAACAAGGAAGTAGCAGATTGCCACAATGATGTATGCAACGACACCTTTCCACATTCGGCCTTCGGAAGGTTTTTCGGGAGTGGAAGGTATTGTTGCTTGGATCTCCAAAACCACATTATGACCAGCATAGGCAAAAGCTACTTCACCCAACGCGGCAAGGAAGTTGAAGACTTTTCGGGAGCTGGTTGAAGCCTTGTATGAATAGTCCACATTTGGTTGAACACCCTTTTCAACCAAAGCTGCCCAAGCAATGGTAGAGTAACTGCATAAAACAAGAAATAAAAGCATCAATGGATGAAACAATAAACAGTGACAACTGCCCCAAAATGCCACTAACAAGTTTAAGTAATGTTTACCACAATGACATGACTGCCGCAGCCAGTGATACACCTGTTATAGAGTTAAAGTTGGGGAGATGGGAGAAGACAAAGTGGACAGAAGCGAAAATCGTAATGAAATATGTGAGTTTGATGTCTTTGCAGTTGGGACAAACCATATCATGAAACTTCTTCAACGATTGCCCTCTAGTGACTATGTAGATAATATCGGTACTGTTAGACCTAAAGCAATAAACATAACAATGCAGATAACGCAAGAAAAATAAAGCACACCAAAATTTACATGAAAAACTCTCCAGTGTAGAGGGAAAAACTACGGACCACTAAAAAAAAGTCTCCATTATCAAATAATGGATATACAAAGTTCTACTCTATCTAAAACTAGAGTTAATAACAACTAGAGAGACAATTGAAAAAATCTCACCAAATAGGTAACTCAACAAATACACTTTGAATTTGTTTTTAGAGAGCTTCAAACCCAATCTTCACTGTCAAAAATATAGAACTCTGAATCAGAAACCTATTGACAAAATTTCAACTCAATTAGACCATAGATCGACTTCCGTTTAACCAACTTTCCCTTCTTCATTTCTCTTTATTTTCCTAGGTTCTTTTTTCTCCCTTTCTTTTTTTTTTTTTTTTTAAGTTTGCAGCACCACTTTCTTTTATTAAGTAGTTAGGGTTTTGTGTAAAAAGAAAGACTAAAGCCCATGGCCTTTGATTGGTCTAAACCCAATTACATGTGGCTGAATCCTATTTTCCTAACAATCTCTCCCTTCAGCTTCATTAGGGAGAGATTCATCATTGTAGCAGTTTCATTTAAAATTTGCCTTGACCAAGGAACTCATTCCAACCAAGTTAATGCAGAACTCAAGTTTTTTCCTGAGAAATGTCTTACTATACATATCTACTATATTCTCATCAGTATAGATTTTCTTCAATAATATCTATTGTTCCTCAATCACTGAATATAACAAGTGATATCTAACATTAATGTATTTCGTTCTAGCATGGTACATGGCATTCTTACTCAAATCTAAAACACTCTAGCTATCACAAAATATCATATATTCTTTCTTATTCAATCCCAATTCAAAAAGAAACGTTTCATCCAAAGCATTTCTGTAATACCCGAAAAAAAGGGACTATTTTAAGTATTTTTATAAGTGGGGGGACTCTTTAATAAAGAATGAGAAGTGCAGAGGACTTATTGATAAATAACTCAATTTTTTTATTAATAGAGTTAACTTTTCAGTTTTCAGTCGATGATTAGTCGTAATAAAAACAGAAACTTATTTCTCATATATTTCTTATACAGAAAAGATCAATTGAAGGATTCCAAGTGAAAGGAAGAACAAATCTACAAGGAAAAAATATCTGTTAAAGGTGAGTAAATAATCTTTTTCAATTTTTGGAGTATTGATGGTTAAGTCTTAATGTGTAAATTATAATCGAGAAACCCTAAAATTTTAGGGTTTCCATTATCCCTCTTTGGCCAGATGATTTAAACTTTAATTAGAGTCAAGTTAAGTGTTGAGAAAGTTGGTAATGTGAATTTATTGCTGAAACAGAAATTTGATGGGAATAGAAAGGAAAATCTTTGTTTCGTATAAATCCTGATATGAATCATGTGTTTGTAGTGATGAATTAAGGTTATATTTTGTATTAAAGGGTTAAATACTACTATGATTACTATAAATGGTTGGAAAGCATGTTGAATCTACTTTCTAATGAAACAAACGGGAGTCGAATTAGAGTTCTCTATGAAGAGTTATCCAATTTTTACCTAAGGAGGTGCAGGCTGCCTAGTAACAGTAGTAAGGGGGAATTACGAAATTTCTCTAAATTTTTATACAAGGATTTACAGTTTAAGCCATATATGTTTGGAAAGCTTATTGAGTCTACTTTCCAATGAAATAAGCGAAATTGAATTTGGAGTTACCTATGAATAAATACGTAATTTTTATGAAAAGGTATATAGGCTGTCTGGCAGCAGTATATGACGTGGATTACAAAAATTGTTATAATTAATCCACAAAGAATCACGAGATGAGCTATATATGATTAGAAAGCTTGTCAAGTCTAGTTTCTAATGCATTAATAAGATTTTAATTTCGAATTGGATATCTTAAGTTATGGTCATTTTAGTGAAAGTAGCACAGACTACCAGAATTAATTACTCGAGTTATTACTTGTTTAACTTAATTGTTTTGGTATAAGTGGCCTCAAATGGGTTGATTAATTATTGTTATGTTGGAATTATCTTGAATAGGCCACTAAATTTTGAGGGAGAAAAATTAGGTGGTGGAATTAGAAAAAAGTAAGTAGAATCTCACACACTTTGCTTGTTTTCAAATCTATGTATATATTTATATATGTTTCCAAATGAAAGAATGTTTTATTTCTTTATTTTCGATATATGAAAATAGGATCAAGCATATGATTATTTTGTGTTTCTTTATATAAATGATGGATCATGCTTATGAATGAAATGAGAAAATGATTTATGTTTAAAGAATAATTTTATGATAGCTACGTTTTTATATCCCTGGGAAGTGGGATCATCGACACCAGAACTAGTTCTACGACCCTGGCTAACGGGTAATAGTAGTTAGCAAATACATGATCATACGACCTGGCTAACAGGTAATAGTAGTTAGCGTAAGCCCTGGCTAACGGGTTATAATAGTTAGCAATGATAATGAGAATGAATTATCGATACGGCCAATGTCACGGTTATAGCAGTGACCGTAGCTAACGATTTGAATGTGATGATGATTTACGAATGATTTTTAATGATTGATTCATGATTTGGTTTGACTACGATATTTGATTGATAACATATTTTACAATGATTTATGAATTTTAATGAAATGTTTGACAGAACGATGATATTGAGATGTTTTGACATTATGATTGACAAATGTTTTGAATGATCTATATGACATGTATGAAAATGATGTTTGATCCGGTAAGGTGTATGAGTCTTTACTACTGAGCTGTGGTTTACTCATTCCCTATTTTCTTTTCTTTTACAAATGTTATGAATGATAAGTATGATTAGCTTGAAAAAAGCTAGAAGAATCGAACATGGAGAACTACTTAGAAATATAGGATTTTATGAAGTATTGTTTATTTTAGTTGTAATACTCTACTTTGAACCTTTGGAGACTTGTTTTCTAGCTATGTTACTTAATGAGAATATTTTATATTTGAGAGTTGTTCAATGGTTATGGATTAGGCTTCGTATTACTTTGAGGTTTTACTTCAAGGTAATATGATCGTGTTATGCCTCGATTCGGGGCGTGATAAAATTGGTATTAGAGCGAAGGTTTAAGATCCAGGAAAGGAAAGAATTGAGTTATAGATAGTGTAAAACTTAAGTATTCTTAGCATTTACACTAATAAGATTCGATTATTTTATTTTGATCGCTTACGAATTTTTTCTTTGTTGATATTAAATTAGGTAAGAATGAGCGGTAGAAATAAGACATTGGCAGACCTTGTGGGTCGAAGGAAAAGAACTGACAAGAGAAGGGATGAATCTGAAACCACCAATGTTCGAGATGAGCAAATTGATATTGAAAATGCTCTTAATGCTCCGGTGACGCGGAATGATTTAGTTGGAGTGTGTCAGGTGGTGTCTAATTTGATACAACAACAGTAGCAAACACAAGAGAATCTGCAACAACGCGAGACAACTTATGAATGATTTTGAAAGGTCAACCCATCTCAGTTTGAAGGCAGCCCTGATCCTTTGGTTGCAGAAGCTTGGGTTAAAGAGTTAGAAAAACTTTTTAAGGCAATGCGTATCTCTGAAGATTTAAAATTGAGCTTGGCTGTCATTCAACTAAGAGAAAATGTTGAGTACTGGTGGGATACCATAAATCCCACATTTGAAGATTCAGATGAGCCTCTGACTTGGAAAAAGTTTAAAGAGATTTTTTTTTTATTAATATTTTCCAGAATCAGTGAAAGTAGAGAAGGGGAATGAGTTTTTGCAATTACAGCAAAAGCATGATATGTCTGTGCTGGAGTATCCCAACAAGTTTAATGAGCTGGAAAGTTTCTATACTCGCATCATTGACTCAGATAAGAATAAGGCAATACGATTCGAGCATGAGTTGAAGCCAAGTATTCGATCTCGTTTGTCTTCTCACATAATTGATAGTTATAAAGATGTGTTACAGCGAGCACTGAAGATTGAGTCAGACATGAAAAGATATGAGCAAGAGATGGGTGATAAGAAACGCTCGAGGTTTGAGGGAGATCAGAGTAATCATCAAAAGAATGTTAGAAAAAACATAAGTAAGAAGTGGGAGACGAAATCTGGTATTAAGCTCGAGAAATGTGATTTTTGTGAGCGATTTCATTCTGGACCATGTTTTAGGAAAGCAAGAATTTGCTTTGAATGTGAAAAATATGGGCATACTGTTCGAAATTACCTAAACAAGAAGAATGATGCTGTTAAAGCTAAACCGATGGAACAACCACAAAAGGGAAATGCTCGAGTTTTCACTTTAACCCGTCAAGATGCTAATGCAAATGATAATGTGGTGACAGGTATTGTTCCTATTAATCGTGTCCATGCTAATGTTTTATTTGATTCTGGTGCCTCTCATAGTTTTGTTTATGTTAAATTTTTTACATCTTTGAGTATTGAACCTGAGAAATTGAATGAGCTTTTATATATTGCTACTCATGTGGGAAAAATTATGTGTGTTGTTACTGTTTATAAGAATTATGTTGTACACATAGGGGGTTATGAACTACTAGTAGATTTGGTATAGTTAAAGATGCTAGAATTTGATGTGATCTTAGGGATGAATTGGTTATCTATACATCATGCAGTTATTGATTGTTACAGGAAGAGAGTAGTGTTTCAGTATTTAGGACAATCAGAACTTGTATATAAAGGTCATCATTTAAGCCTTCCGTGTTAGATTGTGTCGATTTCAAGTGCCATGCAATCTCTAAAGAAAAGGTGTCTAGGCTACCTCGCCTATGTGAAAGACACTCAAATAAATGTAGGTTCACGATTAGAAGATATTTCGATTGTTAAAGATTTTTTTGATGTTTTTCCTGAGGACTTGCCTGGCTTACCTCCTAATCGAAAAATTAAATTTGAAATCGATCTTATCCCTGAAACTGGACCAATATCTAAGCCTCCTTATCGTATGACTCCATTTGAGTTACGTGAATTAAAGGTGCAACTCCAAGAACTGTTAGAGAAAAAGTTTATTCGTCCTAGTGTATCACCTTGGGGAGCTCCTGTATTGTTTGTTAAAAAGAAAGATGGGAGTCTGCGCTTATGCATTGATTATAGGGAGTTAAATAAAGTGACTGTGAAGAACAAATATCCTCTTTCTCGAATTGATGACTTGTTTAATCAGTTACAAGGAGCAAAGGTCTTTTTAAAGATTGATTTACGGTCTGGATATCATCAGTTGAAGATTAAGGCAGGTGATGTATCCAAGACTGCTTTTTGAACTAGGTATGACCATTATGAATTTTTGGTTATGCCTATTGGATTAACAAATGCACCTGCTGCATTCATGGACTTGATGAATAGAATTTTTAAACAGTATCTGGATCAATTTATTGTTGTTTTTATTGATGACATTCTGGTTTATTCTAAGAGTGATAAAAAACATGAGAAACATTCGAGGATTGTATTACAGATCTTGTGGGATAACGTAAAGTTTAGCAAATGTGAATTTTGGTTGACAAGTATTAGTTTTCTTGGTCATGTTATTTCTGAAGATGGGATTTCAGTTGATCCGAAAAAGATTGAGGCAGTGGTGAATTGGCCTCGCCCGATAAATGTGACAGAAGTAAGAAGTTTTATAAGCTTAATAGGTTATTATAGAAGATTTGTTGAGGGGTTTTTCAAATTGCTGTGCCATTGACTCGTTTAACTCAAAAGCGAGCAAAATTTGAATGGACTAAAGAATGTGAATAGAGTTTTCAAGAGCTAAAGCAACGATTGGTGTCAGCACCTATCCTTACTTTACCTTCTGATATTGGTAGTTTTACCATTTATAGTGATGCTTCCAAGAAGGGGTCGGGTTGTGTGTTAATGCAGAATGAAAGGGTAATTGCTTATGCTTCTAGGCAATTAAAAACCTACGAGCAAAATTATCCGACTTATGACTTAGAGTTAGCTGCCATTGTGTTTGCTTTAAAAATATAGAGACATTATTTGTATGGGGAGCCTTGTGCAATTTATACGGATCATAAGAGTTTAAAGTATCTATTTACACAGAAAGATTTGAACATGAGACAGAGAAGATGATTGAAATTAATCAAAGATTATGATTTGACCATCAATTATCATCCGAGCAAAGCTAATGTAGTTACTGATGCTCTTAGTAGAAAGTCTATTGGAAGTATGGCTGCTTTGCTTACTTTGCAACCAAAATTGTTGAAGGAACTTGATACGTAGTAAATCGAGGTGATTATACAGGGAAAAGGTGTTGTTATGGCTAGTTTGGTGGTTCAACCAACTTTGATCGAAAAGATAAAATTTACACAAAAAGAAGATAGTGAGTTAGACAGAATTAAGACAAAAGTGCAGAATGGTTTACGGTCAGAGTTTAATCTTCATGAGGATGGCACATTACGTTTTAGAAATAGATTGTGTGTACCAAATGATCTTGATCTAAAACGAGAGATCTTGGAAGAAGCACATGGGTCTCGATTCACTATACATTCTGAAGGCACTAAGATGTATAAAGATTTGAAAGGAAGTTTTTGGTGAAATAATATGAGACGTGACATAGCTCAGTTTGTGTCCCAATGTCTAGTGTGTCAGCAAGTTAAGGCTGAACACCAAAGACCATCAGGGTTGTTATAATTTTTGGAGATACCGGAATGAAAGTGGGAGCACATCTCTATGGATTTCGTGATGAGGTTGCCTAAGTCATCTAAAGGGAATAATGCAGTATGGGTAATTGTTGATAGACTCACTAAATCAGCTCATTTTCTACCTATCAAGTTGACTACTCCACTTGATAAACTAGCATAATTGTACACGGGTGAAATTATCCGATTGCATGGAGTTCCAGTGAGTATTGTGTCAGATAGAGATTTTAGATTTGTTTCTAAGTTTTGGGTAAGCTTACAACGAGCTATGGGGATAAATTTGAAATTGAGTACAGCATTTCACCCTCTGACAGATGGACAAATAGAGAAAACAAATCAGATTTTAAAAGATATGCTTCAAGCATGTGTGATTGATCTAAAAGGTAGTTGGGATGATTACTTACCTTTAGCGGAGTTCGCTTATAATAATAGTTACCAATCTAGTATTGGGATGGCTCCTTTTGAGGCCTTGTATGGTAGAAAGTGTAGATCCCCTTTACGTTGGGATGATGTTGGGGAAAGAAAACTCCTAGGGCTAGAAATGGTGCAACTGACTGTAGAAAAGATCAACGTGATTAAGGAGAGACTTAAAGCAGCACAAAATCATCAGAAGAGTTGGGCAGATAAAAAGAGAAGAGAGTTAGAATTTCAACAAGGGGATTTTATTTTTTTAAAGGTATCACCCACAAAAGGTGTTATGCGGTTTGGGAAGTGAGGAAAGCTAAGCCCACGTTATATAGGTCCATTTGAAATTCTTGATAAGGTGGGAGAAGTTGCATATAGGATAGCCTTGCCACTTCAGTTATCTGGTGTGCACAATGTTTTTCATGTGACCATGTTGAGAAAGTATGTCTCTAACCCAAGTCACGTGATAGAGTATGAACCTTTAGAAGTTCAAGAAGATTTAACATACTTGGAATATCCTATTCGAATAATTGATCGAAAAGAGCAAGTCTTAAGGCATAGAACTATTTCCTTTATAAAAGTCCAATGGAGCAATCATACACCAAGAGAAGCAACTTGGGAAATGGAAGATGATATGAAGAAACGACATTCTCAGTTATTCGAAAATGAAGGTAAATCAAGTTTCAAGGACGAAACTTTTTATAAGTTGGGGAGATTGTAATACATGAAAAAAAAAGGGACTATTTTAAGTATTTTTATAAGTGGGGGGACTCTTTAATAAAGAATGAGAAGTGCAGAGGACTTATTGATAAATAACCCAATTTTTTTATTAATAGAGTTAACTTTTCAATTTTCAATCGATGATTAGTCGTAATAAAAACAAAAACTTATTTCTCATATGTTTCTTATACAGAAAAGATCAATTGAAGGATTCCAAGTGAAGGGAAGAACAAATCTACAAGGAAAAAATATCTGTTAAAGGTGAGTAAATAATCTTTTTCAATTTTTGGAGTATTGATGGTTAAGTCTTAAGGTGTAAATTATAATCGAGAAACCCTAAAATTTTAGGGTTTTCATTATCCCTCTTTGGGCAGATGATTTAGACTTTAATTAGAGTCAAGTTAAGTGTTGAGAAAGTTGGTAATGTGAATTTATTGCTGAAACAAAAATTTGATGGGAATAGAAAGAAAAATCTTTATTTCGTATAAATCCTGATATGAATCATGTGTTTGTAGTGATGAATTAAGGTTATATTTTGTATTAAAGGGTTAAATACTACTATGATTACTATATATGGTTGGAAAGCATGTTGAATCTACTTTCTAATGAAACAAACGGGAGTCGAATTCAAGTTCTCTATAAAAAGTTATCCAATTTTTACCTAAGGAGGTGCAGGCTGCCTAGTAGCAGCAGTAAGGGGGAATTACGAAATTTCCCTAAATTTTTATACAAGAATTTACAGTTTAAGCCATATATGTTTGGAAAGCTTATCGAGTCTACTTTCCAATGAAATAAGCAAAATTGAATTTGAAGTTACCTATGAATAAATACGTAATTTTTATGAAAAGGTATACAGGCTGTCTGGCAGCAGCATATGACGTGGATTGTAAAAATTGTTATAATTAATCCACAAAGAATCACAAGAGGAGCCATACATGATTAGAAATCGTCAAGTCTAGTTTCTAATGCATTAATAAGATTTTAATTCCGAATTGGATATCTTGAGTTATGGTCATTTTAGTGAAAGTAGCGCAGACTGCCAGAATTAATTACTCGAGTTATTACTTGTTTAACTTAATTGTTTTGGTAAAAGTGGCCTCAAATGGGTTGATTAATTATTGTTATGTTGGAATTATCTTAAATAGGCCACTAAATTTTGAGGGAGAAAAATTAGGTGGTGGAATCAGAAGAAAGTAAGTAGAATCTCACACACTTTGCTTGTTTTCGAATCTATGTATATATTTATATATTTTTTTAAATGAAAGAATGTTTTATTTCTTTATTTTCGATATATGAAAATAGGATCAAGCATATGATTATTTTGTGTTTCTTTATATAAATGATAGATCATGCTTATGAATGAAATGAGAAAATGATTTATGTTTAAAGAATAATTTTATGATAGCTAAGTTTTTATATCCCTAGGAAGTGAGATCATCGACACCAGAACTAGTTCTACGACCCTAGCTAACAGGTAATAGTAGTTAGCAAAGACATGATCATACGATCCTAGCTAACGGGTAATAGTAGTTAGCGTAAGCCCTGACTAATGGGTTATAATAGTTAGCAATGATAATGAGAATGAAATTGTCGATACGGTCAATGTCACGGGTTATAGCAGTGACCGTAGCTAACGATTTGAATGATGATGATGATTTACGATGATTTTTAATGATTGATCCATGATTTGGTTTGACTACGATATTTGAATGATAACATATTTTACAATGATTTATGAATTTATGAAATATTTGATAGAACGATGATATTGAGATGTTTTGACATTATGATTTGACAAATTTTTGAATGATCTATATGACATGTATGAAAATGATGTTTGATTCGGTAAGGTATGTAAGCCTTTACTTACTAAGCTGTGGTTTGCTCATTCCTATTTTCTTTTCTTTTACAGATGTTATGAATGATAAGTATGATTAGCTTGAAAAAAGCTAGAAGAATCGAGCATTGGATAACTACTTAGAAATATAAGATTTTATGAAGTATTGTTTATTTTAGTTGTAATACTCTACTTTGAACCTTTGGAGACTTGTTATCTAGCTATGTTACTTAATGAGAACATTTTATATTTGAGAGTTGTTCAATGGTTATGGATTAGGCTTCGTATTGCTTTGGAGTTTTACTTTAAAGTAATATGACCGTGTTATGTCTCGATTCGGGGCGTGACATGATCAGTAAAGCTTATGACCGGGTGGAATGGGACTATCTGGAAAGGGTGATGGGAAAGATTGGTTTCTTGGCAAAATGGGTCTCAAGAATCATGACGTGTGTACATAGTGTCTTATATTCCGTGATTGTGAATGGTAACAAATGTGAATGGATTCATCCGAGCAGGGGCTCAGGCAGGGAGATCTGTTATCACCTTATCTTTTCCTTTCCTGCATAGAAGGGTTGTCATATCTACTGAATCGGGCTGAACTAAGAGGTGAAATTCATGGGGTCGCAGTGACAATAATGGCGCCGAGGGTATCACTTCTGTTATTTGCAGATGATTGTCTGCTTTTCCTAGGAGCCAGTATTGCAGAATGTCAAGCAGTGCTAAATCTTCTGAAGATTTACGAGAATGCTTCAGGGCAAATGGTCAATATTACAAAATCTATTGTTCTTTTTAGCTCAAATACAAATGCTACATTAAGGGAAGAAATCATAGCAAGGCTGGCGGTCACAAATGATTTTATCCAGGATTGCTATCTTGGGCTGCCAGTTATAATAGGGAGATCGAAAAGAATGACATTCCAAAGGTTGAACGAAAAAGTGTGGAAGAAAATACAAGGTTGGAAAGGGAGACTCCTTTCTCATGCAAGAAAAGCAATTTTAATTAAACAGTGGCTCAGGCGGTACCCACGTACTGCATGAGCTGTTTCTTACTTAACAAAAATTTTCTACATGATATTAATATGATGATGACCCGGTTTTGGTGGAATAATGGAGATGAGAGGAAAAGAGTACATTGGAAAGACTGGGACTCTCTATGCCTAGCAAAACTGGATGGTAATCTTGGGTTCGGAGATCTTAAAGCGTTTAATTTGGCTCTGTTGACTAGACAAGAATGGCGTTTTCTGCAAAATGAATCCCTATTATGCTACAGGATCTTAAGAGCCAGGTACTTTCATAACACTTCCTTCTCACACGTGGAAGCGGCCACAACCCTTCCTATGCATGGGTGGCTTGTTAGCTTGAAGGCAAGTCCTAATGCAGGGATTAATGTGGTGGGTGGGAGATGGAATGAGTATAGATGCATGGGAGGACAAATGGATCAACAAACCGCCTCTATTCAAACATGTAGGTTTCCCTAATCAAGATGGCCAAAACCTTAAAGTAGCTTCGTTGATGGAGGTCAACAAGAGACGGTGGGATGAGGACTTGCTTCAATAGCTGTTTTCAGAAGAGGATGTAAACTTGATACTCCAAATTCTCTTAAGTCGTTGTACCATTCCAGACAAGTTAATATGGACTGGTGCAAATAGTGGAGACTTTTGAGTGAGATCTGCCTACCATTTGGCTAGATCACTGCTGGGGAAACAAGTGGGGGATAGAAGTAACCGATCCCAGATATGGGAGATGGTGTGGAAAGCAAAAGTCTTGCCTAAGGTCAAATTCTTTATGTGGAGATTGATTTTGGACATAGTTCCAGTGAAAATGGTTCTTGAGAAATCCAGTGGATGAAGCATGTTGTGGTTGTGGAGAATCTGGAGAAACAATCCAACATCTGTGCTTCGAGTGAGAGTTTAACCGTAAGCTATGGGAAGGTTTATGTAGTTGGTTCTCTGATTGGGTGGAATCGGGAGTAATGTCATCAGACTTTTGGTTAAGTTTCGTAACCAAGACTAAACATGAGGGGGCCTTTGAACTGTGTTTGTATATCTTATAGCTGCTGTGGTTAAATAGGAATCGTTGTTTGTATGAGGTTAGTTGTGGGTCAACCAAAGAACTAAGGTACAGGGCAGAACGCATGGATCGGGAGGGGAGACTGGCACCAGGACCGGGAAGCAACAGGGGCAGCGGTAGCTCAGTAGTGAATTGGGTACTACCAAAGGATAAGGCTGTAAAAATTAATGTGGATGCTTTTAAAACCCAAACTGGAATTGCAAGGCTGGGTATGGTGACCCGGGATAGCAGAGGTGTTGTGAAGCTGGGTGCAGCAACATGCACTTCAAACAACCAAAGTCTGATCCACATTGAGATGCATGCAGTCCTGTTCGGGGTTGGTATAGTTAGGGAGAGAGGGTTTGAAGTAGATGTAGAAACAGATGCGGCACAGGTGATCCAAGAGATTCTTAAGGGAAAAGAGTCAAACTAAGATGGCTTATGCATAACTTTAGAGTTCTTGAGAATAGCTGCACAATTTAGACTTCGTTCTTTACTCATACCAAAAGAGCTACTAACAATTTAGCTTACAATATTGCTAGACTTGGTTGTTCAAAGGGTCAGGTTTTGGTGTGGCAACACCTACCAGACTCCATACTCAATGTTGATGCTATTTTTAAGTAATGAAGATTAACTACGATAAAATAAAATTATATCAAAAGTTATAAAATTTTACTTATATTATATCAAAATCAAAATTAAATTATTATTATTTATCTTTATTATATATTATATAACATAAAAAAATTATTTATTAAAATAAATTTTTAGAGAAAAATTATACAGTACATCACACAGTACCAAAAACTAATATATATATATATATATATATATATATATATATTGTTTCGTTTTGTTTTAAAAACTCAGTTCAACCATAACCACAAAGATTTGCATGAACTAGAATTTCTTGAAGCTAAAAACAAAACTACCCTTTTGAAGAATATACGAAAGAGGCGGTGTATTATGAATTTCAATATAGAAGAAGAGTTTAACAACTCATCTCTTCAACTGCCAGATGTTAACACTATCATGTTTGATAAATAGTAGTAAAAGATAAGAAATTCATGGTGCAAAATGAAACCGCAGTCTTCTTCAGAGTCCAATTTACTTTCCGGTATTTAACTAATCTGTCACAAGGACTCAATTATTTTCCATACTAAGCAGACAAGAGGAAATGGCATTCCGACCAGAATGACTTGCCCTGTCAAGTTGAGTGATCTCTCACGAGGCTTTTTATTAGTAACTTTGCTGATGAAATGGTTCCAAGTACCCCAAGAAGTGAACCAAAAGCAATGAGGGAAAGGTTAAGAATGAGGAGGCTTTTTGATATCTGAGGCCAAGAAAGCCTGATGTAGAAGGCACAGGGTAAAATCAAGGTAATGCAGACGCTTACGAGGGAGCCAGTGATGCTAACCACGTGCTCGAAATATGGAACAGAAAGAGCAAGAACTAGTATCACTAGAAGAAGAATGGAGCCTACACAGCCTCTTATGATCAACTTCATCCGTGAACTCAGAGAATCTGGTAAGTTACGCTCTAGCTGAAAAGCAATAGGTGCAAACCCAAGCGCATATTTAGTGATGGGAGTTAATACAGTTGCCCATAATGCAATTTTTGTGACAAAATAGTGTTGGGGCAAGCTGAGGGTGATCTGAGGGTTGACTTGTGGACCAAACAACTTGGCACCCAGGAATGCTAGAGCAGTGTAAAGTGAAGTGACTGATGCAAAGCTGACAATAGATGCCTGGAAGCAAGTGCAGAAAAAGTTGGTCAGTTACAATATTCATTCTAGCTGCAGATACGCAATTGCTTCGAATATCAAAAAAAATTTAATTCTTAGGTTCTACTTCAAGTTTAAGTTTGGAATCAAGGAATACCGAAACGTAGGCAGATTCTATGCTAATGAAACAAACTGATAAAATGGAAAACGACACGGAGCAGATACCATTTGATGAAGTACAAGTGCTACAACAGCATCAATGAAAAAAAAACAGAAGGAGAAAACACAGGAGATTAAGATGGAAAAGGAAACAGATGAGTGTTAATTAGGAAGAATAGAATTTTTTTTTTTTTTAAACAAAGGAAGTCACTGTCAAGGGATAGGAAAAATGATTGCAGACGTTAGGATTTAAAATCCAGTAAATGCCATCTCTTAAGGGTGATTACATTAATCAATTAGGATAAGTCTCGAGTTAGAGAATAGATATTTTAATATTAAATATCATAGAAACTTTTCTTAGAAGTGTAAAAATGTATAGGATATGATATATGATTCTCCCAAAAGAAAAGTTAATTTTTAAATAGAACAGACAAAATTTTGCTTAAAAAAGCACCTGACATTCTTTGACTTGGGTGATGAAAAAATAGGCAATAAGAGTTCATGTGTTAAAAAATAACAGAAGAAAAATAATCTTAATAGCTATCTACCTTAGTGAACTTGGATGGATCTTTCATGGCTTTGTATAAGTTGGGGAAAACAACATGGCCAGAATAAATGAAGATATAAAGTCCAGATATGGCAGGAAAATTTTTCACATGTAGCACCGGTATGCTGTGGTTAGCTTTAACACCTCCAAAAATAGCAGTGCACACCACTGATGTGAAGATAATAAGTGACATGAGGACACCACCCCATGAAAGGAAAGATATGGAAGAAAGATCTCTCAACCATAGACTTGGAAGCGCTATCAAAACAGCAATCACAGTTATCAGCTGAGATGTAGACAGCTTAGCCCCTGGCAACTTAAGTCGGTTCCCGGGGAAAACTGTGATCAGATTGTCATGGAGTGAAATGGTGTAAGACACAAGGGCCATGAAAATTTCCAGGTAGATGAAGGTTGCTGCTAAAACTCTTCCTTTTCTTCCTAATGCATTCTCTCCAATATCAACATAGCTTTGGGAACTTGGATTCTTCTTAAGACATTCTCCAAGCAGATGAGAGCAATAAGCGCATATAACCCCAATTCCTACAAGCAGGAAAACAGAAGCCCATCCTCCATTTTCTAGAGCATATGGAGTTGATAACTGGCCAAGACCTGTTTTACATGTGAACTAAAAAATGTTATTGGGTGCTGTAATCTAAGGCATATATAATTTAAAAAAAAAAAAAAAAACCTTCAAAGTATGTTTATAATATGGTTTAGACATTTGTAACTAAAAAAGTTGATTTTGTGGAGTTACAGATTTTTTGTTAAACGAATAGATGGCAAAAAATAAATCCTCTACTTATGGCTTTTTTCACTTACCATATTTAAGGATATACTTTCTCTATATAAATATCTTCATCAGGAAAGCAAGTTGTGTAAATGAATGCAAAGAACCTTTGGAGGCATCATTTCCTACATCTTTCTGCGTTGGATTGAAGAAGCAAACATGCAGGGAAATAGACAAACTTACCTATGAGCATTGCACTCATATTTACGACCGCATGAAGGAAAGAATGATCGGCCCCATCGTTTCCATTTACCTGCATTCTCTGGACATGACCACAATTACACACTTGATTATTTTCCTGCATACAAACATCACACTTCACCTGTCTCAAAGCCAAATTTGCACCATGGACTGTCTCAATTGTTACTTGGTGATGAGACAGACAATTTGATTCAGGGCATGGCAATTTTGCCATTGATTTCTGCAGCTTTCCCATCATATTTGGCTCCTACTTCCACATAGCCTGGTGCAACAAAATCAAAACAGAACCACCAGTCCTCGTGGAGATACTTGATTAAGCTTTACCAAAGAAGCCAAAGAGTGGCTCTATTTATAGCTAAAGGGAATTTGACATACATTGCACTCACAACAATTTGAGTCAGAATCTGACTGTAAGAAAAATGAGTGTATATATGTATATGACAGAAGGAATCACACGTAATACTATAACTATCATGTGCATGAGATCAAGTGGACGAATCCACAAGCAGATACTATTTGCCGTAGCAATGAAGCTGGGCATGCGAATTGAAAGTCGCTTTCATTCATATATATACCAATGGCATGGAAAGTTACTGAAACTTATTCATTAAAGATGGCTTTTTATTTAAAAAATACATCTCTCTAACTAGGACTAGAAACAGTATGGTATAAGTTCCATAGAATTAATCGATTTTCCAAGTGTAGCCGAAAATAGAAGCAGAAAGAACAAGTTCTTTTAACTGGTTGCTTCTGTTTTTCGTATTTTGATGTATGGGGGGTCTTTGAGTTGGTAATTTGGTTTCAGACTCCCAAATTTATCTATAAGTTTATAGTTCAAGTAATTGGTTTGTGCTCACATAAGAAAAATTGTTTCGTATAAAAACAGAATATTAGATCAAATACTTGTGTCGAAGCTGAAAACTTCAATTAATTTATTGCAAATAGCCATGCAATGTAGTGTGGTTTGATAGTAGAGTGTTGAATTCTTAATTTTAGTAATCAAGTTCAATTCTTGGTAACTTTAATTATTGAAAAACTTAATTTGTTAAGGTTCCAACCTTACTTACAGTAATTTTACTTAATACTATTTTTACACTTAATAATTCATATATTTATATTTGTTTATTTTGTGTATAACACATATAAAATATGAAAATTATCTTGTCGACGAGTTAAAAACAAAACATATTTTTTGACTTTTTTTCAAATTGATTATTTTTATTAAAATTTTAAATCGAATTACTTTTATAATTTTTTGTATTGTATCATTATATCCTATTTAAAATTGTCAAACATGAGTTTTACCTTGGGCGTTGGTTGCTATCACGTTAGAAAATAAGGAGACAAGTTAGGTTAGCCACAAAGAAGGTGATGCGTACTGAAATTAGACTGCATTTGAGATGCATGGCTGCAACAAAGAGCTTTACCGACAATGAATTTTTTTTTCCTTTAACATTATTCTAATGATATTTAAAATGTACTTTTTGGGTATCTTTGGATAAGAATTTTAGAAGTAGTGTCTTAGGCGGCAAATGATTATGCCAAATGAACCACATGAGTGCAAGATTAATCACTCGTGCTAAATGGCTTAAACTTAAAGCCAAATTTTGGTTCCAGTCGAAAAATGGTGCTACAAATAAAAGTAGACTAGGAATATTGGTTGGGGGAATTGATGCCAAACGCATCTATTAATAAACTTTGATGTAGACTTCGTTCCCATTACTGGTAAAGCTATATTTGATTCTTCCTGCCTTCACATCAGCGTGGAATATATGCAGAGATCCTGCTTAGGTATATTTCCCTGCATTAGATTTTAGATTTATTTGTAAAGTTTTAGATTTTTTTTATAAAGAGACCTTGCTTTAAAAGAGATTGTAAATTTATTAACATGAATCAAATAAATTAAATTTTAGGTTTAATTTTTTAAATTTTACCATCAAATATAATAATAATCAATTAGCTTTGGAAAATTTACCAGCTAAACTAATTAGTACTATATGAAAAATATTGTGGTAATTTATAAAACAAAAAATCTTCATTTATTATTATTATTATTATTATTACTGATGATGATGTCCCGGCCTCGCCTGGTATGTTATAAAAATTTATAGTATTTTATTGAATTGATATTTATTTGAGTTAAAAGTTAGAGTGATATTTCATTGAATTGATATATGAGTTAAAAATTAACCGAATCAAATGGAATACTCAAATTCTAAAATAAAAAACATAGAAAACAACTCAACATGAGTTCTAAAATGTGAGCTATGAACCACAGCTCATGCAGCATGATCACAATTGACCCATGCATGATCAAAAGAAAATGATATATCATGCAATCATAAGCCTCATTCTTTTGCTATAACTGATGAAACCATTTCAATCAAAGCACAAATATGATGTAAGCCATTTTCCACCATGAAACAAACAACAAAGACTCGATCAAAATACCGTTTTCATCACACACCACATGAAAGAAACATACTATGGGGAGCAAAAATGATAGATATTCTCAATCAAAGATACATGAAAGAAGTAAAGAACTGAGTTTCATAAACTCAAATTAGTATCAAAACAACCAAAATCATGGTAACGGATATATTATGATGATGATTGTTGAGCTAAGGTAAACTCATAAATTGAACAAAACAACACATTTCATCTTTTATGAACTTGAATTGATATCCAAACAACAAACACAAAACAGAGTTGAGAGTTTTATAAATCATTTACATTTTTGTCTCCGCAGCTTATTCAAGGCCTTCTTCTAATCTTTCCTAATCTTCCTTCAAAGGTAACCCCATCAACATTTTTTTTTTTTTAAACTCTTCTTCCACCAAAATCACTATATCAAAACTTTGTTCCTGAAATGCCAACGCCAAACAAAAATATTAGTTTGTCAAACAAATAAAATGTTCTTCAATCCAAACAAAGTAAACATTTTGTATTAATTCAGTTAATTCAAAAAATAAATAATAAGTTTCCCTCTAATATGGCAATATGCAATTGAAATTCAGGGGAAAAGAGCAATTCTTTTTGAAGGAATGGACATAGAGCATTTAAGTAAAGACACACCTACTTTTGTTTGGAGTAAGAGGAAGCGGAAGGGATGCGTTTGTTACGGAATATCATGTATCCGACGGGTAATACCATTCCGATCATCATGATTGCCACTTTGATGATATATTTTAACAGGCTTGGTTGTTCAACCTCTATCATTGTTTTGAACTGCACTGAACACAATCATAACCCAACATCAACCATCAATTTGATAATTATAATTTTGAGCCTTGGGTCAAAACATAGAAGAAGGCTTACAGGCATTTTTTCGGTGGTGCTTTTCTTTAAGCATAACTGTGGTTCCAGAAGTAGGGGATTTGAATCCCTAAACGAAGAAATGAATTTAGACAACAAAATTTTGGGTTTAGTCTGGAAATTTTGGATCCTTCTTGGGTTCATGATTGGTCCGATCCTAATTTCCCTAAAATTAATTCAACAACATCAAACAAAATAAGAAAATTTCCCAAATTTCTCAATCTACAAAATAACAGATACCCTCACCTTCCAAGCTCCTCCGACGGATCATGCGGTATTGCGAAACCACCAAAGAAGGCTCCACCATCTCTCGGGTCTGACTTAAGCACCTAACCTTCCTGTGACCCGAACAAAAAAAAAATTCCAACGAATAACAAAAGAAATCAATTTTTATTTTAGAAAATTAAACGGTGGAGTTAGAGTTTAGAGAGACTAACTGTAGTATCTAACATCATTGGCAATGGTCAACAGGACAATCAGTCATAAGGACAACAGTAAGAAGGGTGTGATGAACCGGTTGTAGAGGATCACCTCCATCCGATTTCAATTTCACAGGTATATGAGAAAGCAAGTGAGGTAAAATGAGAGAAATAGAGGTGGGTGAGCGTGGGAGTGGGAATGGGAATGGGAGCAAGTGGGTAAGGGAGCAAGTAGGTCTTTTGAAGGTGAATAAGAAAAAAATTTCAGAATTTCTTGTGGACAAATGTTCATTAGGTGGTACATATGGCTTTCACGCGTAAACAATTTGTGTAAAATTCATGCAAAAATAGTCTAATATAGAACTACTACAAAGCTAAAAAAAAAAAAAAAAGTTAGTAGAAAGCTAGTTGTCATTACCAAGATCCTTTTATATAGGATAGTATTGATTATTATTATTTAGGAGAAAAATTTTTTATAAAATTTCTACTTTGAAGGTTGAAGGATAAATATTTTTTAAAAAATGTCTTAACCATCCACATTAATGATAGGATGAAATAACCTTAAACAATATTCAAACCAAATATGTCAAATAGTAGAAAACAAATTATCTCTCTTTTGTGTGCATCTAGTAGAAATCATCCAAATAGAGCTAACAAATAAATCACCAACCCACAAACACAAGTACATAAATAATTTTCGTGAAAAATCTCCCCAAAACGAGAAGTAAAACCATTAACAGCAACAAATAATCTCCATTATAAAAATAATGGGCATACAAAGTTTTCTTTAGTTAGAACTAGAGGTATATAATTATAATATTTCAAGATTAAACAATCGAGATAAAAAAATAATATTGCCAGAGAAAATTGAAGAAGTCTTACCAAATTTAAAAATTAACACACACTCATGAAATCAGTAGGTAGAAAACTCAAAACTTGATCTTCACCATTCAAACTAAACAATAATGAGTCATGAATACATTGATAAATTTTCAACTTAATCGGACCATAAATTAACTTCAATCAACCTACTTGATTGGAATTGCACAAAATCACTTTTTTTCTCTATTTTGCCTCCATACCTCTTTTGCTTCTTTTCCAGCAATATAAAGTTATTATATAAGGATTTAAAACCCTATAATCAAGCATAAAAGGACTAAAAAGTTTTTGGTAAATGGACTTTAATTTTAGGCCACTTTCACATGAAGGAAACCAAGACCAACAAATCAACCATTTTCTGACTATGTGGGGGAAATCGTCATTTCAACGATCGAATGGCAAATTTCAAAATTCTCCTTTGTAGCTTTACCAACTTAAAAGTATTATTCTCATGCAAAGACTTTTTTTTATCTTGCATGGCATCAACCCACTCTTTCTTGTATCATCTTCCATGGCTTTTGCATAACATATGGGTTTTTTCCCATCAATTAGTAACATATACTCATTAACAAAATAGTGTGTGAAAGGCTGTCAATCTCTAGTAGACCTCTTGAAAGGAACTTTTGCGTACTGAAATTAGACTTCATTTGAGATACATGGCTGCACTATATGGAGCAAACAAAGAGCTTTATCAACAGGGATTTATTTTTCCTTAGCATTATTCTCATGATATTTAAAATGTATTCTTTTTATTATCTTTGGATAAGAATTTTATAAGTAGTCTCTTAGGCGGAAAGTGATTGTGCTAAATGAACCACATGAGAGCAAGATTAATCACTGGTGCTAAATGGTTTAAAAATTAAAGCCAAATTTTGGTTCCAGTTGAAAAATGGTGCTACAAATAAAAGTAGACTTGGAATTTTGATAGGGGAAATTGATGCCAAATGCATCTTTTAATAAACTTTGATGTAGACTACATTCCCATTATTGGTATAGATCTTGTTTAAGTTTATTTCCCCATATTAGATTTTAGATTTATTTGTAAAGTTCAATTTTTTTTTTTAAAAAAAAAGAGATTGTAATTTGAAAAAGATTATAAATTTATTAGTATGTATCAATTGAGTTAAAATTTGAATTTAATATTTTTAGATTTAATCATCATATATAAAATGATAATCAATTGACTTTAGAAAATTTACCAGCTAATCTAACAAGTACAATTTGAAAAATATTGTAGTAATTTATAAAATAAAGAATTTTTATTTTATTATTATTATTTTTGTAGGTGAAAGAATTATAAAGATTCTACTTTGAACTTTGAAGGCTAAAGTATAAATATGGTTGAAAAAATGACTCATCTGTCCACATTAATTTCTTTTTAAAAATGATCCAAATAACTAAGACATTATTTTGCCTTGATGGTTCACACGATGGAGAACATCTCCTGAACATAATCTGTGATGTCAAACATTTGATTGGCATTTCCCTTTTCATACATTCCTCATGATAATTAGTGAATGGCTAATTATCACGAGGAATGTATAAGAACAAATAAAGAAAAAATAAAGAATCAGTATGGACATTGAAATACTAATAAGATATTTGAGCATCATTTTAACCAATTTCACTGCAAAAAGATGAGGGTGCAAGTTTTCTTCGAATCAAATAAAATTATCAAGATTATATAATAACAAATAAAGAATCAGTATAGACATTAAAATACTAAAACAATTACATAACCACACACCAAAAGAGAAGAAAAAGAAGAAAAAAAAAGAAGAATAATAAGAACCAAGGTAAAGAAAACAAGTGCACTTGCAACTATATGAGAGAAAAGTATTAGCATGTATTAGAAGTCATTTTGTCCCATTGTTACCAAGAAAATTTAAGAATTTCCTTTAAAGTTGTAACAGATCAAAAGTAATGCAATGATGAAAATAGAATAGACTGCGAAAGCAAAGTATGATGGCCATTAAAATCATTGTACTTGACAAATAACCAACTACACATGAAAGAAAGCAAAAAAATTTGAAAACTATGAAACTGAAACTTAATTCAGTTAATTCATGTAGTAACCTTTAAAAAGTGATATTCAGCAAATCTAAAGTTCAAATCTTAGCACTTACAACCCATCTTTTATCCTTAGACTAAAACCTCATGTGTACCAAAAAAAAAAAACTTTGGAAATAATAATCTTTTTTTAATAGGACAAGTTATTCTACTCCAAGATGATATTTCTTAAGATCTTTAAAATGCGTATTTTTTCATATCTTTGAAGAACAATAAATCTTGGAGACTTAAGACTTTGCAAACAAGTAGAATTTATTTTGAAATGAGTTGCATGATCTAGGATGTAATTAGATCTATCTAGGAAAAGGATTAAGTCGTAAATAGAAGGCATGGTTGACATTGTGCATAGATGATTAGTGGCAAAACAAACTTTTTTGAAACTAGAACAAATGATACTTATGAAGTAACTTCAATGGCATGAAAATGTCTATTCAATTTAGTTACTGTGGACACCTAATTTTATTTGACATAATTTCACACCACCAATCAAGGCTCGTTTTTGCACATGGTCCGAAGCTTTTATTTTTCAGGCCTATTACACAATTCATTTTATGTAGCCCAAAATTGGTAATTTAAAATGACCAATTTTTTGGCTCGATTGAAAGCCCAAACTAATTATCAAGTTTGGCTCAAAAAAAGTGGGCCCAAAACCAAATAATGAGACTAAAAACTAATAAAATGAAAAGTCTCAAGTAAAGGCCCATTTGCAACCCAAAAGAATGCCTAATTACAAATTTAATTCATAGCCCAATTATGGCTCATTTAAAGCCTAATGGGCATCCCATATTGCAATCATTTTTAAAAGTCTTTTACGTAGCCCCAAATGGAGCCCAAGTCAAGCTCATTTCAGGCCCAAAAGGTGACTCTATTAAAAACCCACTTACAAGCTTAATTCATGGCTCATTTAAGGGCCCGATATATAGATCAAAGCATGGTCCAAAGTATAAAAAGCCTATAAACAAAAGTCCAAATGAGACGTTAAACATGACCTAAAAAATTAGGCCCAAATGAAAAAAAAAAGCCTAAAAAGGAAAAAAGAAAGAATGATGGACAAATAAGCCCATTCGGGTAGGGGTAATTTGTTTTGCATGGGACCATGAAAAGGGCATGTGAACTACAAAAGAAAAAGGAAAAAAAGGATGAATAAAGAGAGCCAAAAAGGGAAGGTTGAAGTAATAAAGAGGAAATGCATTTTTATTCACGTGAAACTTATATGTAATGAGAGATAATCAGCTACAAACTAGTTTGTTTGTCGTGAAGAAGATAAGAAAAGCTTACAATAGAACAAACAATAATCAATACTTTACAAAGCTTGGGGAGAAAAGAAGATAAGGGACATTCGCGTTTTACAAAAAGCTTTTTAAAAGAGAAAAATGAGGTTTTTTAGGAGGCCATAAAAAAGAGAAAAAAATAAAAATGAGAGAAAACTTAAAGTAAAAAAAAATGAAAGAGGAGCATTCGATTTTGAAAGAATAGCCACAAACAAAAAATGAGGCTATTAAAAAGAAAAAAAAAAAGAGTTTGCTCAAAAGAAAGAAGGAGGAAAAACTAAAGGGAAAACAAAAAAAAAATAGCAGAGGGCAAAAAAGTTGAAGGCTAAGAGACAAATAAGGTTTAAGGTCTTGAACCAAAAAACCAAAGAAGAGGGGAATTTATATACACTCCATCAAAGTGTTGAATAAAAAATATTTTCTATACATTTCGTCAAAGTGTTGGAGAATTTATATAATGTAAAAATAATAATAATTTCTCAAAATAAAAAATATTTTGCGTAAAGAAATTTTTAAATGGAGTTAATTTCAAATATTTAAAAAGATCATATTATCAAAATTAAAGGAAAACACATGTTAACTAGTACCGTTCTTTAAATGGGTGAAATGAAAGTGTTAATTCTTTCTCCACTCATAACCATACTAACAGATCCGATCTTGATTTCACAGACTAAAAAGTCTTTTAGTAAATTTCAATTAATTTTGAGATCTTTTTATTAAAAGATGATCTTTTGAGTGGCTAATTACATCAAAAAAAATATTCGTGACAACTCTTAAATTTTCATCAAATCTAATGATTGAGTCTCTTCGAACGAAAAATTGTTATGATAGGTTGGATGGGTTCCAAATTAACCATTTTAGTAATAAAATAAAGTTTAACGAAATCTTTAACTATTTCTGTATAACCCCTATGAATAAAATAGAGTAATTGCTTCAATCATTCCATACTTTTGATCATTAGTAACTTTAATTTTTCTTCTTCTTCTTAAACCTACTTACTATCCAAAATCGTAACACAACTCTAAAATCCCTATAAAGTCCATACCTTTCCATAAGCAAGAAAAATGGATAGGTACAAAAAAGTAAAAAGGCCAAAGCTTGAAGAAACCATCAATGAGAATGAAGTTAGAATCACTGCTCAAGGTACTATTAAAGATTACATTACTTTTGCCATTTCTCTTATTCAACTATTACCTAAAAAAAGTCATTTTCTTCTTCTTCTTTACTACTTTTCCCTGACATTTTATTTGGGCTTTTCATTATATAGGGTTCGTTTATTGCATAAAAACTAATTTTTACATTTCAAGTCAATCTCTTTTAATTTTAAGCCCTTTTTAATGGCAAAAAAGATTAAAAAATCTTGTTTAATGCAAGGAAGTGGAAGATCTAATCATGAATCAACTTCAATAGAGCAAGTTTACCAAATCTTCTGTTAAGGAAATCAATGCATTGTTGCACTAGCATGAAAAGGCAATGAATTAACCCCTACATATAAGGACTTTTGTAATATCTCTAGTACCTAGTAGACCTGATCCTTATTTTGCTATGCATTGTAATTAAGTTATCAGCATTTTATCAGTTTGATCATTTGAAAATGAATAGTTCAATCTTTTATTTTTTTCAAAAGTTTTTCCCATTATGACTAGTACTTCGTTACCTTCAGTTTTATGGGGTGTGCTTCTTTTATATTAGCTTGTGGTTTTTTTTTATCTGTATGGGAATTTAGATTGCTGGTAGAGTTTTTATTATAAAATTTGTTATGGAGGGTGCTATTGCTCCATGGTTCATAGTTAGTAAAATAAGTTTATTTAATCTCATAGATTCATGCAGTCACTTTTAAAATGTAGCATCTAAAGGTTTAAAGAATTCAAATATCAACATTTACAATCTTTTTCTCCACTTAAGTTATGGCCTTTTTATAAAAAAAAATTTTTTTATTCGATTTGTTTAAGAGTTGCAAACCAGAATTCTATTACAAGTGTGACTATTTATGGTTAATTTAGATTGTAACACACATTTAGTGGAGTTGCAATCACTTTATAAGTTTGTGTCAAATGGCATTGTCGTTGCATGTCTAGTTGGCATTTTTTTCCTTTCTTAAAGTGCATTTTATAATTCTTGTTTAAAATGATTTGTGCATGACTCACCAAGTGTCCTTGTTTCAATTTCTCTGGCAAGCAAAAGAGCTAAACAAAAACTCTCTTGGTTAATATGATTTTCTACTTCTTTTTCTTTTTGGCCATATTAACATTGTGTTAGGCAAAAAGTCTCAAATGTAATTAAGTTAACGGAAACAAAATCAAATAATTAATTAATTACATAAAAAATAATAATTTAACATCATTCAACCTAATCGACCTACATTCATAGATGAAAAAAAAATCTACGAGTTATAAAGAATTACAAACAAATATCAAACTAACCACTTACAATCAATATCTATAGACATTTTCAATTTACGTTAGTCCTATAGAATATTGTCATTCTAAACAAATATATACCCATATATACTCATGCACCCATACCTATGCGGACTATCTCAGTCTCATTTAATCCATTAAAATATATACACTCATAAGGATATTAATCTTCTGTAGTCCTATAGGGTGTCTATCTTATAAAATCTTAAAACTTTTTTACATATTTTTCTCATACTTATATCTATAAAGACTTTTCCAATTTATAAGCATACAAACTTACCTATTAGGAATTTTTTTCCTCTTAAAATTCTTCTTCTGCAAGTCAAACTTGCTTATTAGGAATTCATTTTCTCTTAGAATTCTTTTTCTATAAGTTTTTTTGTCCATCAAACAATATTTAACCAATTTCAAACAAATTTCTTATGAGATTTGAGTCACTATTCCCAACATATTATTGAAAAATTTTTATGTTATCAAGTATCAAGCATCCTCTTATGTAGAGTAGTCAAAACACCAATGTCAGTCTCAGCAACAACAAAAGCAAATGCATGCACCTGTAACTGTAACTGGGTTTACTGAAAGTGATGAATTTGGTTTCGTTCCTTTTAATAATATCTCATTAGATCTAATATTTTTGTAATATATCTCATTATTTTTTTTTCCAATCCATAATACCAAATATATATTGCTATCTGGTTGTGTTCCACACTTACCAACTATCAGTCCGACAATCACCTAATCCTAAATGTTGGCAGTTAGTTGCATGGCGGCTAGGGTCACCTGGTTATGATGCTAGGTTCTTTTCTTCTCACGTTCAACTTGTCATCTATATTTAAATGGACAGTGCTACTATCATACCATACATTTAAAAAAGGTTCTTTTCTCCCTAATAGTGAAATTAATTGTTTGAAGATCCAAATAATGAATTAATGATTTTTTGTGTTTAACTTTCAAGTATATTCCTTTTTCATTTATAATAGCATTAGATTTAATTTGATTTTATATACAATAAGTGTATATATTTTGCTGTTTGAAAAATCAAATTCAGAAATAAATCATTGTTATCTAATAAAATATTCTTATTTTAATTATTTCACTACTAAAAAATAAGATATTATCAACGGAATTATGGATAGAAAAATTTATTTGTATAAGTTAATAATGCTATTTTGTTGGTATTATAACATTTAGTCGATAAATTGCTGACGAAATTTTTAATTGGAAAAATATTTTTATGTCAATATATTAGTTTAATAATTTTTTTAAAATTAATCAAATTTTTTTAAAAATCCATTGATAATAATTAAAATTCTATTGGTAATAGTTACTATTTTCGTTAGTAATAGTTACTATTTTCATCAAAAATATCTATTTTTCAATCATATTTAGCTATTATTTTATAATTTTTATCATTTTATTATATTTTAAAAATTATTTTTAAAATAATGATAATATTTTACAAAATTATTTATAAAAAACATAATAATATTTTACAAAATTATTTATAAATTTTAATTACATGAAAATAAAAAATACATATATGTTACAAATCCTTAACAAGCATTCGGTAATACCCCAAACCCGTCGTTCTAATGGTAGCAACGAACTTTCACCTTCACACTAATCGTCCAATTTCTTTCTGTGGAACTAGTGTGTCTTTCCCACTCGCCAAGTGCTTGCATCTCGGACCCACACTTGCAAACAACTCTGAAACAAAAAATATCATAATGAATAAAGTCTCCTACTCAAAATTCTGAAAGCTAAATTCTTTTCGTGGAACAAGTTAAGAACTCAAACAAAATTCCCCTAGGACACTTTGACATTATTTGTATGCTAATAAAACTAAGCATATTTCGTCTTGGTTTAGATATAGATCCCAGGTAAGAGGACTATAAGGTTACTTGTTCAGAAAATGTAAAATTTAAATGAAGTAGCAGCATCAAATTTGCTTCAATGGAATCATCGACTATTGAATTTCAATGGTATTCAGAAAAAAAATTTCTAGCAACACATCTGCTGACCAAACAATTTCAAAAACAAAGAAGTCTGAAGATGTCTAAAAAGGTATCATTCCAAAGTGGAAAAAGAAAAATGAAATTTATTTATTAATAATTTTTTTCTTGGTCTAGGTCACCCTGTGATAGCCACCTTAGGTCTCGATTAATTCGAAGTTGAATCGGATTCTGCACTCAAAAACTTGAAACTGAGACTTTATTTAAGAGGAACCGAATTCTTTAACTGCTTGGATGAACAGATTTTGATAATTTTTTTCCCCATGTAAGTTGAGGCTTGAGTAAGGGTATAAATGATACATTAGTACTCGCAAGCTACTCAGGTTCAATTCAAAGAAAACTCAAATTTGGTTTGATTATTATCAAGTCGAGCTGAGTAGTTCGACTTATCAATCGAGCTGAATTTGAGTATTCTTATATCCGACTTGAATAGCTCGCGAGCCTAGTTAAACTTTTATATTTAAATATATTTTTATTATTTTAATTAATAAAATATTTCGAATTCGAGTTCGAACTCGAGCATAAATAATCGAATTCTTATCGAGTATATGAATTGAACTTATTTTTACATATTAATAGAGCTTAATCAAATGAACTCGAGTAGCTCGAATTCGATCACGAATCAAGTTCAAATTTGAAAAATAAAACTCGATCGAGTTCGAGTTAAGTATAGAATCACGAGTTGAGTATCGAATCACGAGTTGTGAGTCGAACTCGAGCTTCTCACTAAATTCGTTCGACTCGACTCGATTACACCCTTAAGCTTGAGTAATAAATGCCTTCAACACCACAACAGAGAACAGTAACCTTGTTAGGCAGAACTAATTGACCGTTATTTTTTTTTATCTGCATAAAAGGTTTTACAAGCGTTAGACACACAGAGGTGAAGAATAAACGATCATTCAGTATGCCTTGAATAATTTTCTGATACATATAGGTATACTTTATAAAACAAGGTAAGTCATTGTAGCAGTAAGACTGCCCTATTCCTAACATACATACTCACACAGAGACAAATATCAGTTTCAAAATAGAAAAGACTTACTTAGCTTTTGACTGCCACTTGTCTGAATCGGATAATTCCAAATCTTCTTGCAAATGCCACAATAATGTTCTGATTTAGTTAACTACAATAAAAAAGCATGTGGTTGTGAGAGTAACAAAAAAGGTCAAACAGTGGAAACATAATTTAAGATCCAGAAAGGCATTGCCACAAACCGTAACACATGTTTTTTTCACAAGAATTGGCCTCCAGGAGTTGATGCTTTCATTTTCTTTCCCATTTTATATGAGAGGGTCATGCCACAACTTTCGCAGGGTCTCGCGTCCTTATATTTCCCAAGCAAGAGCTGCAAATAGAGGGGAACAGACGAGGCGCGGCGAAGACGAGGAGAGAGCGGCGGAGATGAGGGTAGGGGAGAGAAAGGGAGCTTAGAGATTTTGAATGCGGGGGAGAAAATGAGATTAGGATTCGAGGGTTTCATTTAATTTTTTATTAGAGTTATTTATCGACAAAATAATTTATCAGTAATGAAAAAGATATTATCGATCGATTATTAATGGGTTATTTATTGATATTTAGAGTACTAAATTTTCCTTTTAATGAAATAGTTTTTATCAATAAATTTCATCAGTATTTTATTCATATTTCATCATTGAATTAAATTATAATTATGTGTTATCGATAATTCGTAAAAAATTCATCAATAATTATTTATGAAAAAATTATCGATAAATTTTCAACGATGTTAGAACAAATTTTTTAGTGTTTTATTGGTGTGATGCTAAAGATTAATCAAATTAAATTACCAGTAATAGAAAATTGGAACTTTAATTAAAACAATTAATCTAAATTATAAAAAATAAATCCAAATTTTGTCTTACCCATTGTATGTATGTTCCTACCCAAATGCAGCAAACAAAACCATACAAAAAGTCCGAGATATAAAAAGCTGCCAAGTCTCCAAAACCCAAAGCAATCTCATCAAATCTGTGAAAGCAGATCCTGAACCACAACGGACCTGGAGAAACCAACGTCCAAGTTCATCTGATCTACCCCACCATCTTCGGCAAACGTTTTATAGTCAGCTCCATCGCTCTCCTCTTCTCTTCTGTCGCAGAGAAAAGCACAAAAGAAAACTCCTTCAAATTCAGCTCCAAAACCTCCCTTTCTTTCCCTTTCTTAGAAAAAGTTGAAATTAGAAAAGACGAAACGAAAGAGAGAAAAGAGATAGAGAAACAGCTTCAAGAACCTCCTCCTCCTTATCATGTCCTTCACAAGCTTCCTCCTGGTGACAGCCTTTACGTTTGATTTGCTTATCTGGGGTTTCTTTAATGCAGTTAAATACTTTTTTTTTGGTTATCCGGGTTTTCCTTTGTTTCTTTCTTTTTTTTATAAAATTATCTAGGTTTTCATCCTGTACCTATTCTGCTTTTCTCTTTAACTTTTTTATAATTACTGAAAAGCCCTTGAATGTGAGAGTTATTTACTATGCAGGGTCTTTGTTAGATTCTGTTATAATTATCTCTCCTTTTAGTTTATTTTCGTTTTTGTTTTAGTTTTCCTTTTGTTGTTCATCAATTGTAGTTTATTATCCTACTTTTCCAGTTCTAAGGCATTTTAATTAGAATTGATAATTTTAAATATGATATGTTACAAAATAAAAAATTATATATAAAATAAAATCGTGTGAGTTTGACAAAAAATTTAAAAATAAATGTGTGTTTGATCAGTTTTGTATTTTACATTTATTTCAAACCAAGTAAATAAGATGGAGATACACATATTAATTGTCATGTCTAATTTTAATAAAATGAAAGGTAAATTTGTAAAAGATTTTGTCCCTAATTTTTTTTCGGTTAATTGAATTTAATTAAGGTAGAGATGTAACTAAGAATTGCTTAATGAGACTGGATAAGGTGCTAAATTTTAGTAATATGTCTTTATAAATGAGGCAAATTTAATTTCTAGAGCCATTAGATATCACTTTCTAAAAATCAACGAATAAATCAATTGAGTTAAATTTTATATTCACAACACATGTTTCTTATAATGCATTTGACTATTCATACATTTAGGGAAAGTTAATGTTTTAGATATAAATTTAAAAAAAAAAAAAATCCTAACAAAGGAGCACTTGTTAGTATTTTCCATAAATAAAATAAAGTGATATATGTGTCGCATATAACTTTTTCATACTGCTTAGGCACTGATTTTCATTTTGGTGTTAAATTTGACATCCTTATGCATTGCAGTTAGTAGATAAGGATCCAGAAGCGGCAATAGTTTTGTTTAAGAAGGCGATAAATGCAGGAGATAGAACAGACAGTGCACTTAAGGACATGGCAGTGGGTATGAAGCAGCAGGACAGAGCCGAAGAAGCTATTGGAGCCATAAAATCTTTCAGGGACAGCTGCTCCAAGCAGGCTTAGGAATCACTCGACAATATCCTTGTTGACTTGTATAAGGTAATGAAAATTGAAAAAGGAGCCTTAATTTGTTGTATGCTTTTAATTAGTTAGTTCATTGTGCTCTTGGAAGTATTTAGATTAGCTCATTATAGGATTTCAACCAATGATCTCCTTGCTTTGAGTTGAAATAATGGTGATATTTAAGCATTTTTCTATCTAATTATTAAGGAGCTGCCATCCTAAATACTTTTGTGATAGCTGATAGCTAGATGCGACAATTTGTATATTTGTTTCTGTCTAGTTTATATCAAATATGTATAAAATATAAAAATTACATGATAAACACGAAATAAAGTTTTTAATTTTTTGTTAAACCCATTATGGTTTTTGCTAAAATTTTTTAAATTATGTTTTTTGTGTTTTTTTATATCATTTTCATTTCGTGTTATTATGTCATGTTTAAAATTATGAAGTACATGAGAAGCACTAATTATAAGTTTTAATCATGATCTATGCCCTCTTATATGCACAATGAGTCAAAAGACACTAAAAAACGTATTGAAGAATCAGTCAAGTTAAAAGATTAAAGTGAAATATAGGTATGTTTAATCTCTCAAGCTGTCAAGCTGATATCTTCCAAGAGCTAAACACACTGGAATAAGGAAACATGTGCCAGGTCAGAAATCCTGGAATAAATTTTTTGGAAGAACTGGCTCTGTCAAGATGAATTGCAGAAACCACTTCATTTTGTAAATTCTTGTGGTTTAGGTTAAGTCTTTAATTTCTGTCATTAAAAAATCAAGAAATTATTTTGAAAATTCCTAAGCTTTTTAATATGTAGGGATTCTCTTATCATATTTATATATGGTACTATCATGAAGTCTTGATATTAACTGCAATAAAATTAGCAGAAATTTGGAAGAATTGATGAGCAGATACAACTATTGAAGCAGAAGCTTAGAATGATTTACCAAGGTAAGGCCTTCAAAGGGAAGCCTACCAAGATAGCTTGGCCCCATGGGAAAAAGTTTCAGGTTACAATCAAGCAGGAGACCTCTAAGATACTGGTACTAAAATTTATCTAGTCACTTATTTGTCAAATGCTGCATTCATGAGTGTATCAAAATGCAATTCATAACTTTTTGCATAATTGTGTTCAATTTCTGGTGTGCTCTCCAATTGATCTCAATCCACGACTATATTTACTGTTGAATACCATGCCTTTGAATGCTTTTCAGTAAGGTTTGATACAACAGTGTTTTTAGGCTTGAAGTAGCAGGTTTTTCCTACTGGATAAGATCACATTGCTTGCAAAAGTTGCAAAGAAATATTAATTTTTTTCCTTCACTTTTGGGTTAACATCATTGATTTTGAAAATTTTTTTGATAAATGTGTAATACAGGGAAACTTGGGTTGGGCGTACATGCAGCAAGAAAACTATTTAGCAGCAGAAGCAGTTTATTGTACAAGCTCAGATAATAGACCCTGATGCCAACAAGGCTTGCAACCTTTGCCAGTGTGATCAAGCAAGCACGTTACTTGGAAGCAAATCCATTCTTGAGGATGTAATACAGGACAAACTTCCAGGATCCACTGATCCCAATTCAAGAAACCGTGTGAAGGAGATGCTACAGGAATTTGAGTCACGAGGATCCATGTTATTAGCTACAACTTCAATAGGGTTGAACTTGGAAGATGCTTTCCTTGAAGGTCTTGACCTGTTGATGAGCCAATGGACTCCATACAGATCAAGGAGGCTTCCTATCTTCGAAGAAATTTCTTCGTTCAGAGATCAGTTAGCGTGTTGATTTTATGTTTGTTTATACCCCACCTGGACTTCATCAGTTTTAAATGTGAGTGCTTGTGGATGGCGAGTATGCTATAGAAAATAACCTTCTTCAGGAGTGCCATTGTAACAATTATGAGCGCTTAAAGGTACTATGTCTGCATATTTCTTCTTATGTTCTATGTAAAGGATGCGCCATGCTTCTTCTAGTAGAATTTGGAGCTGGAACTACTAAATGAGCAAAAACCTATAAACCTATAAAATCAGAACGATATAAAGAAAATTAGCCTGGTCCCTATGCAAAGATGAATAGCTTAAATCTAAGAAATGGTTTAACTTTTTTAGTTGTGAAGACACGTTTTTAACCTATAACTATTGTTTGTTTTAATTGAAAATTTATAATTTTATTTTACAAAAAATGTTTTATAAATATGCATTTAGATATATATATATATATATATATATATATTTATCATAACAAATATTCAAAATATTTTAATACGAGATTGCAGTGTTACACTTATGAAGATTTGGACTGGGAAAGCTTACTTTGCTTGTTGAGTTAGCTTGGCGACTAGTACAACAAGATGATGCTCTTTGGCATGAAGTTTTCAAGAATGAAGATTATCGCATGACCACCCTGACTGGGGTAGGATCGGGTTGCTATAGTGCCAGCGAGTACCATTTGTATGGTTAGCAGCTCATGAAAGCAACACACAGACACAGGACAGTAGGTTGGCTGCCGCTCAAACTCAACACTGGGTGATGGATGACTGCAAGGATGTCCCTAGCGGGCATTGAATGGGTGTTGAACTTGGGAATATTAATTACTTGGTAGTTGTGGAAAGCAAGAAAACATTCTAAAATCTGTAAATCGCTTTTACTTGTTCATGGGAATAATTTCTTTCCTAATTGTTATAAATGGATTACTTTGAATACTTTGTAGTCTTCGATTTTCGTTTATAAAAAATATCAATTGCAAAACTCTTTGTTCCACCAGCCACACCCTTCTCTTACCTCTAAAAGGTTCACAAAGAGAGTAAAAAAATACTTATATAAAAGGATTTACAAGACAAAAACAACAATAATTAAACTTTATATCCAATAACTCCTATGAAAGATCAAAACTGAAATCTAGTCAGGTAGTAGTTTGAATCTTTTTGTGTCACTCATTTCTATCAAAAAGCAACTTCTTCCTCTAATTTCTTAATCCTCATATAATTTTTTATTTTAAAAAAAAGACAGATCAGCAATATTCCAAAAGGGCAAATAGAATATGCAGGCATCCAAGTATCCCTCCATTACAACATAAAGAAGAAATCCTCCATAGAAATATTTATCCGTAAGAAGTTCAAACTATATCCTATACCTATACAGCCAACCAAGATACAAAGCTTCTCCCCATCCTAAGCGGCTAGCAAAGGGAGAAACATGTGACCTAAAAAAAGGAAGTAAAGCAAACCAACCTATCAAGACAACCCAGTCAAAGAGGCAGCAAGAGCATGTACGAGGGAAATCAAAGACAAATCAACATTTGAAGCCATGGCAGACTGACAGCACAATGATAAGAATCAAGGCAATAAGGATACCCAAAACAATCAATTTTATCTTCATATTCTGAAGCCACATCTTTCTTCTCATCTTAGTTCCCTGCTGCCTAAAATCCTGTGCCTGTAATTCAGATATCAAGTCAAATGCATCATTTTGTGCATCTTATGTTTAACACATTACATGCATTGTTTGGTGCAACGACAAAAGATGTATAAAGAACCAAACAAGACAAAGTACTTAAATTAGAAACTTAGATTGACTAGAACTATGATGACTTCTAAAACCGTGTCTCATAAGGAAACTGCTTCACCAGAATGCAATAGTTACTGTTTCAATCAACAATAAGATGCAGATTGAATATGACTAACCTGTGAGCGAAGGTTCTCAGTTTTATCCACCAGCAACTCAATCTTCTCACCACGGTCGAGGACCTGGCCAAAGACAAATGTTAGTAACAAATGAAAGCAACACGCCACATACAATATATCTGTAAGTACCATTCTGTTTATAAAACATGCTTGCAACTTGCAACTTGCAAAGGCTGGTTATGTATCTTGTCACGTTTTAACTATCACATTACATCTAGAACAGCTACAAAATCAGCAGCAACTATTACCTTCTCAATATTTTCCATCATAACACCCTTGACTTCAGAAACTTGAGCCTTCACTTTGGCAAG